CATTGTAGGGGGAGAGTGTGTCGATTATGGTGAATTCTGTTTTTATCTTTTTGGTGCCAGCTTGCACCTCCAAGCTTGTTGCTCCCAGTGGCCACGTCGTTCTATTGAACCCGACCATTAGGCTATTGGACTGCTCCATATCGTCTAGGTGAAGGCCAAGCTCCTTGTAACACCTGACATACATGATGTCACAAAAGCTGCCTTGGTCAATTAGGATGCGCTTCACTTGGCACTTCCCAACCTGGAGGGATACTACTAAGGCATCGTTATGTAGATGTTGTACCATCTCAAGGTCGGCTTCAGTAAAGGACACTACTAGTCCTTAGCACCCCTCATCCCAAGGTCTTTTCTCCCGGACCTGGTACACATGCTGCAAGTGCTTTACCTTCTGGGTCTCTTCCCGTATTTCGTTTTTGTTGACCTTCAAGTGAACTACATTAATTACCCGAGGTCCGCTTGCCTGCGGTTGCTGTGCTGAGGGAAGTGGAGCTGTTGGTGCCTGAGGCAGTCTTGCTTGCTCTTCCCTTGTCCTGGCTTCATCTACAAGGTCCTTTAAATGGCCTTGCCTTACCAGGTCTTCCAGGAGTGCTTTCAGGGCTCTACAACCCTGAGTCAGATGCCCATCTTCATTGTGGTAAGCACAATGCTTACCAAGGCTTCTTCCCATAAACGCTCTTGGTACCCTTGCTGGTGCTCTAAAGTAGGGCTGGGTTCGGATTTTATCCAGGACTTTGTGAATTGGAACTCGGAATACAGTTGTGACTGCCTGTGCAGCCCTCAGTCCTATCTCTTGCTTGTTGGATCCATTGTTACCTCGGCCTCGCTTCGACGAGCCGTATCCTTTTTCTTGCTTTGTCTCCTTAGTCCCTGGCGTGTCTTCCTCGGCTCTGGCATATTTCTCAATTCTGGCCATGAGCTCTTCCATGCTTTTTGGCAATGTCTTTGCCAATGACTTTCGTAGTGGACAATCATCTTTTAGGCCGTTCTTGAAAGACACGACCGCACCTCTTGGTTGCACTTGGGTATTCGGTTGAATACCTCATAATACCTTTTGGCATAGGCTCTCAAGTTTTCATCCTTGCCAATTTTTAGAGCCATCTGGGCGTCTACCCTTAACGGCTGGAATTTGTTTGTCACAAACCTGGCCACAAACATCTCGGCCAGGCCTTTCCAGGTTTTCACAGTTCTTTTCGGCAACTTGTGAAACCAGTCTGATGCAATTTCTCCGAAGGATGAGGGGCACACCTTGCAAAGCAACGGCTCGTTCCCAGTGTATAATGCCATCGAGTTCAGGTACAAACCGACGTGAAAGTTGGGGTCTGACTTCCCGTCGTAGATCTGGAAACTTGGCATACTAAATCTTTTCGGGGCCTCAAATTTGTCTAACTCCACCGAGAATGGTGTTCTCGGCTTAACAGAGGAAGTTACCTCGGCATTTTGTTGCTTCTTCTTGAGGTAATCTCTCAAGTCCTCTTTGGTCCACCCAGGAGCTCGGCTATCTCCTGACTTCAGCCTTTTAGGTGCACTACTCTCAACTTCGTTTTGAGCCCTCTTCGACCTTTCTCCATCAGTTGCGTTGAAGCACAACTCCTACCTTTGAACATGCTGATGTTCTTTGGGGTCTGCTTCCTTGGTGCGATGTGTCCTTCGAGATTATTCCCTTCTCGACTCTCCTCGCCCGACCTCCCTTGAAGGCCGGTGAGAGTGTTTTCGCTCCTGGTGTGCTGGGGGGCTACAGGGATTGTTTTCTGCCCTCCCTTCTGGGCATTGGCCGCTGGAATCGGCGTGTTCTACAGCGGGAATTGTGGCTGCATGACGTTGTCTTGCATCATGAAATTGATGACCGATTGCAGGTCTGGTAATTTGTTCGCCATGGCCTTTACCTCATCGTCCCTCCGCAGGCATCTTTCTTTCTATACTTGGAGGTCGTCCTTGTTGTAGTACCCGCTTCGGTCCGTTTTCTTTGGTACGTCGCCTTCCTGGCCGACGTCCTTTCCTTCGTGATTCTCATCGTAAGTCTCTCTGTTGCAGTTGTCTTCTTCAACGTCAAGGTCTATAGGTTTCCCACTTCCAATAGGAGTGTCATCCCCAATCTTCTCTTTCTGTCCGTTGTTGGCCATCTATTCACCTTTCTTTTCCACAGACGGTGCCAAATTGTGTGTGTCAATTTCCGACCACACTGCCAAATTAGTACTTAGCTGGAGAGCACTGACAGAATAGATTAAGCTCGAGCGACCTGCAATAGAAAGAAGAGATTCCGGCGGTGATTCGTCCACCCGGGAGCACTCCGATGATCGAGTCAGTTATCTCTCAAAGATAGCAAAAATGCTCAACTCACTATTCAGAATATAAATTGCGTATTTTAGACTCATGGGGGTGCCTCTCTTTTATAGCCAACACAATCCTAGTCCCAATAGAAGCCTAACTTCAATGGACTTCTGCTCAGTGCTTATCTTAGACTCTCTAATAGATAAAGATAAACTTCCTAAGAGTTTTATCCTTATCCAGGTTGAGGTTCTTCCTCATTCTAGGACTCTTATCCCTTATCCGCTTATTCCGGACTCCGGTATCTTCAGAGATAACCTCAGCCTAGACGAGATCACCTCGGCGTCATGACTAGGACACGCGGTACCTCGGCTGACACTTCTGCGTCGCCTTGGCCACGTGTTGGCACTCAGAAAATATATCCCCACACTATCTGTAGCTTTCAAATGAGATTTATCTGCACAAGTGCTTGTATTTAATCTTTTTGCTTGTCATAACATTGGCACACATCATAGATAAGGTTTATCTCAGAGCAAACGAATCTGGATGCATGCTACTTGAAAATACTTCTGCTATGAGTTCAGACTTTAATCCACCATAATAAGAAGATGCCTGATTTTGTTTTTGTATTTTTATTTTTACTTTTTATTTTTATAGGCTACTAGTAGAAGACAAATATTTGATCGCTACTGTTGAACAGCCACTATGTGCTTATCATCTAGGTGATCGGATCCATCCATCACAGCTACCAATAAGGTTGTAACAACCTCCAATACTCTTACCTTCATGGCTATTGAAGAATGGTGGAGCATAGACAGGCCTGGTCTTGAGATTTTCGAGGTCTAAAGTTGATAATCAACTAATAAATTTTGGGGTCCTTCATATTTTTTTTTTCATTGAATGAAAAAAAATGAAGACAAAAGACAAAAAAACAAAAAATTTACAAAAAATACTTAGTATTACATTATAACAATTAATAAGTGTCGCTTGATTCTCGCTCTTTTTGTATTTTTAAAAGCAAATAAATCAATCATACTTGTATAATCTATTTTTTTACAAAATCATTTTCAATGGATAACAATGCTAATTATTTTAAATGGGCCTTTCAATTTTTTAATGGATCAATTTATTTTAAGTTGGTTTGGGTCTACCTTAATTTTTTTTTGGATTTAAAATATACCTAATATATTACAATAAATTATAATAGGAGGACCCTATTTTGGGTCTATTTTCAATGGATAACAATGTTAATTTTTTTGAATGGATCTTTTAATTTTTCAATGAGTCAATTTATTTTAAGTTAATTTGGGCATTCTTTAATTTTTTTTTACATTTAAAGTTTGAGAAGACTAAATAAGTGCACTGTTTGACTTTTTATGAAATATGAGTTGGGTTTGAAATGATGTGTTAGAGAGGTGATGTGACTTAAATAAGATGATGTGACTTAAATAGGATAGTGACTTTTTGACTTTTTGTCTTTTTTCAATCATGCCAAACTTGGCCTTAATATATTACACTAAACCATAATAAAAGGGGCCTCTTTTTTAGGTCTATTTTAAAGGGTCCTAAGCCATGATCTTGTTGGCCCATACCTAGGATCGGCACTAAGCACAGACACATAACACAAATATAACACGATTGCCACAATAATTTTTCAAAAATTAGGACACTACACGACAACAACGCATCAACAAAAAAATATAAATATTTCTATATAAGCATGAAAATAATTACTTCTCAATTAAATAAAAAAATATTAGGACATATTTGGATGGTGTCCAACACGACTTGGGATTCATGATTTGAATGCCACCAGGTTTTGAATATTTCGAGCGTGTACACCAGATGGCATTCATGTGGAGGCGAATTGATTATTTTAGTACATATTTTTTTAATTTTGTGGCACATTTATAGAAAGTAGTCTCTAGAATTACCCTAGCAACAAAACTATGTAAATTCAACTATTTTCCATTGTTGGGTTATCCTAGAATTACCACAAAAATAAAAATAAATATAGAGGAACATGGAGATGGAAGCAGAAATTCATTGTCATTATTCACTCTTGGTTTTGAGTTTTCAAATTTAATTTTTGAAACTTTCAATCTATATTTCTTTTTATTTTGAGTGAATTTTTTTAATATTTTAATCAAAATTATTTAGCTTTTAAACTTAGGAAAAATTACTTGTTTTTGCACTAACAAAAATATTATTACAAATTTATAACATTAATTATTAATATGTATAAAATTTGCTATTTATTTATAATATTTTTAATTTTTGAAACTTTCAATTTATATTTTTTTATTGAGTGAATTTTTTTAATATTTTAATCAAAATTATTTAGCTCCTAAATTTAGGAAAAATTACTTGTCAGTGCACTGACAAAAATATTATTACAAATTTATAAAAAAAAATTATAACATTAATTATTAATATGTATAAAATTTGCCATTTATTTATAATATATTTTTTTGTCAGTTGACTAGTAATTTCTCCTTAAATATACTTAGATTCACTTAAAAAAAAAAATTGTGAAAATCCAAAATAAATACAAAAAAATACAAAAAATTTGCTAAAAATTTCAGATAATTTTTAAATAATTTTAGAAATAATTTTTTGTATTTATTTTTAACAAGGGCAAATTACCCACTTTAAAATTATTTCTAACTACAAAGAAAGGTATCTCGGACATACAACTTACAAGGATTAGAATACAATATTTACCTCCCAAAAAAAGTAAAAAAGATAAGGATACAGATAAATAGAGAAGAAAGAAATTACCTAGCAACAGCGCATGTATTTTAACCTTATCCACTAAAAGGAAGCAACTGTACTGATTTCTTGCATTTCTTGTGTGTATTTTGGGTGTAACCAACCAACAAGTGGATGATTTTACTGGTTTGTCCCAACTCCCAACAAAAATATACAAAATGGTTTCTTGATTCACTAGTGTACTAGCAAAGCATCACCCAAGTTGTTAAAAAACACCCAAGAACAGCCCAGGTGAAACAAAAGGTAAAAACAAGATCCTAGAAACGTCTATATGCATTCGAATGTGGCGGTCTATGCCCTGAGATTTGGTGTCTTCCAGGTGGGGCATGTGCATGCATTGTTCCTCCAACATGAGGAGGCATGGGAACCATCTCATTCGTACTATGTGACCCATCAAAACCCAGTGGCAGTTTCTGTGGAGATCGAATATGGGGATGTATCAAAGGACCGGACCGCTGGAGTTTTCAATGCAATTGGGCCTTGGGTAAAGACTGGACCTGAAGTTTTGAATTAGTGTAAGACACTGTTACTACCTGAATTAGAAGCTACCAAATGAAAAGATTGAAAAGGAATTTCAAAAGTAAAAGGTGAATTCACTTGGATGCTAATCTTACTATTTGCATGATTCATACCTGCCCAACCTTCCGCAGATCACATCTCTTTTCTCCAGATAGAGTTGGGAACAACAGCCTTCCGCATTCCTCCCCAACCTACTGAAGGCGTTCCACCCCAACCTTCTGTAGGAGTTCCACCCCAACCTTTCGTAGGCGGTGTTTCCCTGCAACCTTTTGTAGGCTGTGTTCTTCCCCAACCTTCTGTAGGCTGTGTTCCTCCCCAACCAGTCGCAGGCAGCGTTCCACCCCAACCTTTCGTAGGCGTTGTTCCACCCCAACCTGTTGTAGGCAGTGTTCCTCCCCAACCTTTTGTATGTGGTGTTCCACCCAAACCCGTTGTAGGCAGTGTTCCTCCCCAACCTTTTGTATGCGGTGTTCCACCCAAACCCGTTGTAGGCTGTGTTCCTCCCCAACCTTTTGCAAGCTGTGTCCCTCCCCAACCATTTGTAGGCTGTGTTCCTCCCAAACCAGTCACAGGCTGTGTTCCACCCCAACCTTTCGTAGGCGTTGTTCCACCCCAACCTGTTGTAGGCAGTGTTCCTCCCCAAACTTTTGTATGCGGTGTTCCACCCAAACCCGTTGTAGGCAGTGTTCCTCCCCAACCGTTTGTAGGCTGTGTCGCTCCACAGCCATTTGTAGGCTGTGTCCCTCCCCAACCAGTCGTAGGCGGTGTTCCACCCCAAGCTTTCATCGGCGGTGTTCCTCCCCAAACAGTCATAGGCGGTGTTGCACCCGAACCTTTCGTAGTCGTTGTTCCACCCCAACCTGTTATAGGCGGTGTTCCTCCCCAACCGTTTGTACGCGGTGCTCCACCCCAACTTATTGTAGGTGGTGCTCCTCCCCAACCTTTCATAGGCGGTGTTCCACCCCGACCTGTTGTAGGCGGTGTTCCTCCCCAACCTGTTGTAGGCGGTTTTCCACCCAAAACTGTTGTAGGCAGTGTTCCTTCCCAACCACTTGTAGGCGTTGTTCCTTCCCAACCTTCTGCAGAACGCATCTTTTTTGTCTTGACAGGAATAGCTCCATCTGTTTCCCCTGAACATTCAGTTCGACGCTTCTTTTTAGTCTGGATGCAGGGCTCTACTGTTTTTTTATCAATTTTCGTTGTGCATACTGGAGCAGGTAGAAGTTCCCGGCCAAACAAAAGTTCTCTTAGCTTAGTTCCTTCAATCTTACCATTCATAAAATTAAAAACATAGTGCATACAAAGGTGGATGCACTCGTAGATCTTTTTTACTTGTTTTTTTCCTACCGCTCTTGCAACATTTTGAGATCGATCAGTGAAATCCTCAACCTGTCAAAGGGGAGAATTAGCAAACACTTGAGTATGTTTAAAAGCATAGGAAGCGCCTTAAGAGTTCCAAAAAAGTGAGCTAAATTACACTTATACAGCCGATTTTAGAATCCCATGTTTTCAATATCCAAGATCCTTCATATGTGCTGGCACAAAGACCTTTGGCCCAAAGTGTTTCAACCGATAATAGCTACAATAGCAACAGCCACAGTAAATCATAATATTTCAATAATACACACATTAGACCTCATATGGAATGAAGATAATTTGTTGCATGAATTTCTATAAATCATAATATTTCACTCCACTGCCCGGATGAACAAGCATTACCTTGTTTAGCAGAGTAACAAAGAGCTCACCCAGGGATTCTTTATTCCTTTTTCCATAGTTCAAAAAATTATTAACAATCTTCCCCACCATCACAGGATCTGTCCCATCTAGAACATGCCAAGAACACAAAACCATTTAAATCTCAAGGATGAATAATGCAACAAAGAAGCTGACAGTAGTCACCAAGTAGCAGCTAAAAAACTCAATAATCAAAAAAAGATAACACTAATAACTGAGAACAAAAACAATTACATGTTGAAGTTTTTGGCTTCCCACCAAAGTGAAGTGATATTGGAAGAGACTATTGCATAAAAAGGCAAAGTATGCAATTCATCTAGAAGAAAGGTTAAGAAAATGCAAATAATTTGTTGGTCAAGAATCAAGATAAAAATATCACAACCCTCTGGAAATACATTGTGGATCATATCACGCTACTAATGCATTCTTCAAACATTTCTTTCTCTCCAATTATTTCAATCCACAAGCATGGGCAAAGAAAAGTTACTCAAGTTATATGAGGCCATAACAATTTATATTAATATAATACTCCTTAAGAGGCTACTGGTAGTTCTGGACACTAAAACCTAGTGAGATTTATTCCTTAGGCAGTGCTAGGAAAAAAATAAGAAAAAGATAGGTTTGAAATTATTTTTTTAAGACATATTTTGCACCCAAGAAAAAGAACAGGAAATGGTCATTGAAAATTCAGCTCCCTGCTGTATAAGACAATTATTCGGGATATATATGTACATTTGTTTGCTTGATAAAAAAATGGTAGGAGAGGCTGACCAGTGCGTGGCAACCCTACTTGGGCATGACCATAGTAGCTCCTACTCATTGGGGAGGTAGACGGGAGGGGCCTAAATGGGCCTGCAAATGTGGGGATCCTAGGCGTTTCCCTCAAGACATTCCAACAAGAAAAATTTTATTTAGTAGATTTTTGGGATATGAAGAGTTTAGGTAGTGGTAAAAGAGGAGAGAAACTAGGCTTAGATGAGAAACTAGGCTCCTCCACCACTCCCTCCCCTCCTCTGCCATCCCCTCCCCCCAACCCCATCTCCAGCCCCTTCCCTCCCTTCCCCCTGGCCACCCCCTCTCCCAAACCCCCACCTCTTCTAAAAACCCTCTTCTTCTTCTTAGGAGGGAAGGTGTGTACTTTTTGTTCTTAATGGTGACTTATTTGAGGGATACAGTTGTAATTAAAAAAATTTCATAAAATGGTGTGGACTAAGAAAATGTGAGGTGTACAAATCTCAAAGCATAAAATTTGTAATTTTCCAGAACTATTCCTTACAAATGCCATGAACATTTTTAAAAATACAAATAAAGGGGCAATTTTAAAAATCAATTTTTGATATGAATTTTAATGCATTAATTGCATGTCAACTTTAAAAAGTAGGAATTCTCAAAAGGGAGTAACAATGTGGGATGGATGAAGTAGTAAATGTGGTTTGATGGGTAGGAGGAGGTCATGTGTTTGTCTCACCAACAATTATGGGATGTGCAAGACTCATGCCCATTAATTCTAAGACCAATGGCTCTTCCCCACTATGCCATCAGTATGGCTGGAGTCAGTTTATTAGAGCAAGAACACCTCTGTTGAATCCTTTGTTACCAAAATGTTTCGATTTACGGTTTGATTCATGATCGATGTAAATAGACTTCATGAAGAATTGCACAATTCACAATTCAATTCACTTTTACGATTTATGAAATTCTTGAAACTATAGGGTCTATAACAGACTCTGTTCCTACTCTGTTTTTATCGTTATTTATTTTATCTATTTTTTGGTGTTGTGCATGTGTTAAACTGTCATAACACAACTTTTACGAGTGTTTAGTACACAAATAACCGATACTCATGCATGGTTTGTTGTTATTTTGGTGATCATAGGGCTTGACCGGATCCAATCAAACCCGAATAGGTTTTAATCCTCCTCCCCCCCCCCCCCCCCCCCCCCCCCCACCCCCCCCCCCCCTCTTTGCAAAAAAATTGTAAACATAATCCAAAATGCTCAATGGGGCCAAAGTAACTAGTACTTATGAAATATCTATTGTTATTTTGGTGAAATAATCGTAGTTCAATATGACATGAGTCAAGTCAGTTAGATCCAACGATTCCACAACAGTGTTTTTACTTATTTTGAACAATAAACATATACACTTTTTAAAGTGTTTTAGGTTTTAAATTAAAGGGTATCCATTTAATTTTTCTTCTTATTCTACCCTATTTAGGGTTTCTAGATCCATTTTTTTGAAAGTCAAGAGAATACATTATTGTTTATAAATAATTTCATAGTCCACTTACTAAGGTCGAATCACATCTATCTGAAGGGCCTAAAACAAGGATATAATTGTTTGAGTTACATCAAATTTAACTTTGACTTTCACCACAAAGAGCATCATATGGATTTTGTTCTAATACAACCTAAAAATCATAGGTAATGCCATCTTCATTTCATTATTATTTTCTAAGCTAATCTCAGTGCTCCTGGGTGGGCTATGTGGATCAAATTCTGTGAATCCACTCTCTGCAGGACACTATGTTTCATTATATTGGAACCATTTAACTGTTTCCTCAAAGTTCCTTTCATTTTTTTTACTGTTCCTCTATACCAATTCCGTCCTTCCATCTGAACTGAAGAGCTGCCAGCTGCAATGCACTTCCAAACTATAGAGCTCCTAGTTGCCAGTATTACTATATTAAATCATCCACGAACACATTAGAAATCTATCTACATCAACTCTTCCCTATTTTATTGCTTAATGATATCAACAAAAGGACAACAATGGTGTGTTTCAATAAAGAATCCGATGCCATTCAATCTGTTCAAAGGTTTCTTCCTATATTTTCCAATTCTTTTCTGAAATCAATATGATAAAAATCACATGTGTTTGTAAAAATGCAATAGCTAATTAATGAAACCAAATAAATTTCTTCAATGATATTTTATTATGTCTCAAATAAAGAGGAAGAGACACCCCCTTGGTCCCCCCTTTTGAATATAATACATATCAATTTACAAAAAAAGAGCAAGTGTTCCATCGGACATACAAGAAAAGAAGCTATTGTCTAAAAGTCATCCAATAGAATTCCTTTCTTCTTTGAAGTAATAGGCTAGTTAATAACGCTTATCCTATATATGAGGCGAAAGTTCTTACCTTTAAATATTGCAGAGAATGGAGGTAATATAGGTGGATCACGAGTCTGCAAGGCAAAGATATTACATTAGACAAAAAAGAAGAAAGCAAGACAGAGAGAAAAAAGAGAAGACGGATACAAATTTAAATGGTACAAAAATGGACGTGGAATCTGTGTTACCAGAACAGCCACAGGAATGTAGCGTTATTGCATTTGAATGTAGTGAAGAGAATAAAAATGTACAAAAATCCCAATGAGGACACAGCAGATAAAGATAGGAGACATAATTTTTTAATTTATTTAAGAACATGGATTCGAATAAGTTTCACAACAAAAGGGCATCTAAGCAACTGCTGTAGCACTTCGGAATATTACAAGGAAGAATGTAGTGGGCGAGATAGAATGTCAAACATAGCAACTCCTCAGTATCACATAAATGGGACATGGCTATTTGTGTGAGGAATATATATACTTACATACACGTATCTTTTACAATTATAATTTTTTTTTCTTCTCTCATATTTTAATTTTTTACTTTGTGGTTTACTTTAATGAATTCTTTATATGTACTCTCTTACAACAAGATGAGATTAATATTAACATTAAATGTATATTGCATAATTCAAAGAAAACATCTGTAGAATTTGGATCGAACTTATCATATCTGACCTTTATCCAAGCAATCTATAAAGGTAATGTAAGCCTGCAAGCATCATACCATGTTTAGGTTAAGTGGCTTACCCTTTAATTCATCCAACACTACCCTAGTAAAGGGGCAATGCAAGGCAAGACCTGTTGTGACCAGACCTTGTAGGCTTACGTGGCAATAACGATGATGCAAGGGCAATGATTGCCATTGACTGCTCCGGTGATTTGAGGCAATGGCAACAAGAAGCTGTGATACCGCAAGATGGTGAAAATAATAAGTATCAAGATCACAAAGTTGGAGACCAGAGATGATGGTGCAAAGATTATGAACTGGTAGAAGAATTCAGATCAAACAAGGATGGGTCAAACTAATTGCAGTAGGTTGGGAACAACAATTCAATGACGAACAATGTTGCCGAAGTTGTTCAATGGGTGTTAGCGCAGATGTTGCAAACTGGAAAGACAATGATAAATAGCAAAGGCAAGGATCCCAATGAAGAAAATATGATGTGCTGGCAACTGTTGGTCTCTTTGGGTAACAATGATGTGAAGCAGTTAGGCAGTTGCAATGTGTTCTTAGGTTTGTGTTGGCTCTGATACCAAATAGACGCAAAATGGAGAGGGAGAAAGAAGTGAGAGGAAGAACACAAAGGACACAACCCTAAACCTTTACTCTCAATTTTATTAATCAACTCTGAATAATGCCATGTCAAACGTACTTCTTTATAAGCTAATAACCCTAACAGAAAAGGAAATTAGGATCCTAAGAAAATAAGAAACCAAATATTAACAAGACTCTCAATTAAATTGTAATTTAAAAATATATATATATATATATATAACTACTAAAGATGCAAAATTATAAAATTGTAAATAAAGCTTCCTTGTCAAAGCTGTTGCATGCGTTCCTCATCACATTCCCAATATAGACAACCCACCAACCAGCACATTCTAGAGGTGTTGAGCAATGACCATCATTTCTAGGTCACTCATCCCTGGTAAAGTGGAAATTATGATTCCTAAATTGTTCAACACAACTTATTTGCTCTGTTATTGCTACTTCAATGTCTCTGTAAAGGTGATGTTCATCTTTTTATAACCAACAATCAAAATTCAAGTTCCATGTAGACAACTAGCAAAAAAAGTTCTGCTAATAACATGCAATGTAAACAGTTCTGGAAAATTAGTAGTTAATAATTTCAAGGTGTGATATAACGAGTACTGCAAGAGAGCTGACAGAAAAGGAAAACCATATCAATTTTTCACAAAATAGCCAGGAACTCAAGTGTTATGACTAGCATTCAATCTGAACACAGTAGAAAGCTGCTTAGGAAAGTATAAAAGAAAAAAAAGAAAAAAAATCATTGAAGCGTGAGAAAATTTACAACTAATTGAAGAACACAGCAAAAAAAAAAATAGCAGAAACTACAGTATTCACTATCTATGATAGATAAATGCCTCCCCGTCTAAGAACTTAAGCCATTCTTGTTAACCGATCGACCTTGATGTCCTGTACATAATCTACTAATACTAAGCATTTTGATGTTTAAATTTTTGACCTTTTCACTACTGTCCAGTACCACTGAGACGTGATAAAATAATCATACCTGGAGATGGAATGCAACCAATAATATTATGGATAAGGAGTTCATCGTTCGATCTTTCGAACTGTTAATATCCTGTGCTTTTGCCCAAGCTTTCATCTGTAATGGATAAAAAAACATTGGCAAATCTCATGCCCATGAGATGCTAGAGTGGTAAGTTTGACAAATCTGCAGCATTGAAAATAACATGACGTGTACATATAAATATTTCAACATTTAAGCACACCTGTCTACATAATGATGCATGTATGCATTAATTAGACGTCACTGAACAACAAGACTTGTGAGAAAATATTTTGGTGTCACGTTCATGAATTTTGTTCTCCATCCCTCTTGAAATAGAGCTACATATGGAGCACATCTTAAGGAGTTTTCTCACAGATAAGCTTAATGAGAACATCTTTGACCCTCTTCTATATGACCGTCTATTGGATATTTGGTGCATGTAACCTCTTTCTCGTGCCTATCGGTGGATGGTCCCTTTGCTTCACTCATCTATTGACGTACTAAAATACAAAGTGGAAAACCTAGCCCACCCACTACCCTTCCCTTTACGTACGTGAGTTAGGCCCTAGCTCGGGATCGGGCAAAGAAGTTTTTTTTCCTATGCCTCGTATAAATCGATATGAATGGAAGATGCCTCTAGAACTTGTTTTTCTCGGCCTCTCTCGAACGATGTAAAGTGAATTGTTTCGGTTGAAGTCTTCTACAGTAGTGAGAATTTGGTGTAACTAAGGTTGACGTGGAGAGCTTGGGAGTCAACTCTGTCTCACATCCTCATCCCCCTGGCGATCTACGCCCTCCCCTCCGCCTAGGATTGCTGGCACTAGATGAAGCACAGGTCTCGTCTAACAAGGCATGGGACCCATAGATTCATTGTCTGCTGTGCAGAAGCTTCCTTCCAAGTCCATCAATCTGTAGTGGAATAGTATCACCAGCTCGTAGAATAGTCAAGTAGTGGGTGAGTAGAGTCTGTGCTTTGGTGAGCACGGAACAGCACAACAAGAAGCTTCTCGGCCACCCTATCGCACACGAGATGAGAGTATACAGTACGCGTAACTAATTGGTATCGGCAATAGTTAAATGAGCAGGGTCAGGCTCAACCGGAATTGTTTGCAGCCAGAGATGAGTCAATGGCATCTACTTGAAACTTTTTTATTCACACCGAAGAGCTAGTGCGCAACTAGTGCCCAATGAAGACCCAAGCAATGCATCGAGAAGGCAAAAGAGAGAAGCCAGGAAAGCTATATCTCTATCTCTTCCTAACAAGGGGAGGAGTCCGTTCATGGTATAATAAGGGTTGGGATAGTCAACATATTAACTTGGCTTGGTAAGGTAGTGAGTGCTAATAGCAAGCTATTGGTGGAGAAGTAATTGCTCTCGACTGCTAGCCTTTAGCTCTTGCTCGTCGGTCCTCAAGTAGTGGTGGAAAACACTCTCTCTCTCTCTCTCTATATATATATATATATATTTTTTTGTTTTTTGTACCCCAACATAACAGTGCAACTATCTCCTATTCAGAATCCACAATCACATCTATGCATAGAAGTTTGGATCACATGATATCCTACTTCAGAATGCATGGCCAGTCTTATACAACTTGGAAAATATAATACCCAAATTACTCCCCATGGCATATACAGAGCCAACATGCAAATGCCTGAGGCTTCCTTGCCCTACTCCTGGCCTAGGCAAGCCACAGTCCTTTAGGGTGCTTGAGCTACAGTCAGCAGGGAGACTAGGGGTAAATAAGTTACAAATTGACCTTATGCAAAAACCCTCATGTTGAGGTTCACTATGAAAGCAAGATGTCTTCTGGATTTGTGCAAGTAGCTGTCAGACAGCTCGAAGTGCTAAAGCATCAAACCACAAAATGTTTCACTAGAAGTAACAACACTACGATAAACGATGAGGAATTTTTATTTTTATTTTTTTTTGTTAAGTAGAACAAAAGATAAGGTGATACTTGGAGATTCACTGCACAAGACAGACAAGGCGCACAGGAAACAAATGAACAATGGGACCTGATGTGCACAAGTATAACCCAAAAAGGAACTACTCATAGTTCTAGTTCTGTAGAAAACAAGCACTTGAACAAATCAACTTGTTGCATATTGGTGAGCTAAGTGACGACACAAGATAAATCATTTGTATATATATATATGCAGGCCAATGCCAAGTATTATGCAGCTGACAATCTAAAGAGGTTAAGAACAATAGCAAAATATTTAATTACCAAAAAGCTTAGCATCTGAAATCGATCATCGATTGAAGAAATCAGGCGGACAATCTGGGATTTCACAATTCCATCCCGGTTCTCAATTGAAATGTCACATTCAATTCCAGTTCCACGATCAACAATTTTCAAAATAGGAACCTTAGCTGTCAAAATTGGATGGACGCTGGAAACGTGTCCCTTTCCTACACATAAAAAATGAATAGATTAGAAGCATCCAGTATTTCCTGTGATAATCAGAATATTAATTACAATAAGAGTCTAATAAGCACCAGGACAAGGACAAGGATGATAATCCTAAAATTAACTACTGAAGATTCTGCGTAAGTCAAATGCTCAATAACTTTTATATTTTGATTCCCAGCCTAAGCAATTTTAGCTTAGATAAGAAAGATGAGCATTCTTTATCATCAGTGTTTACTTTGAACATTTCAGATTTATTTCATCCCTCAAAGGAAAATATACATAGAAGTCCCAGAAGAGGAAAACTATGCATTTAGGTAAAGAAATTTTATCGAAAATGACTGTCAAACAACATTGTGCTAGTGACTATATCGACATAAAGTATTCAACTCTCAGGAATACCAACTGAAGTATAGGTTCAACTGCTCCAAAGAATATTCATGTACGTTGTCCTCTGTGAAAAGGTGATGCAACGCCTAAAATATGCTGAACACTATTTCAGTGAATGCAAGTATATACTCCCAAGTCTCCATCCCTAATCACTCTAAATAAGGTTTTCTAGTAGATTATTTGAATGTACAAATGATAATCTTTAACAGTAGTTTAATTTAAATTACATGGTACCTTTCAATTGAAATATGCTCAATATGAGTGATAAGCTGCTGATACCACTACGGGCATGTTTGTTTTTTTTTTTTTAAAAAAAATAATAATAAGAATAACATAAAATAGAGAAAGAAAACAGAGAATATTTTTGGGGTGAGGATGTGCAGGCGGTGGAATATATTATAGAGTTTTGGATGAGTGGGTGCAGAGATGAAGATTGGTTTAAAAAAATAAAAAAGGGTATGGGTGAGACATAGTGGGAACAAAGAGAAAAAATAAAATAGAGGGTGAGGAACAAGAGGATATGGGATAAAGACCAGAAAAAGTAAAGTAAATAAATAAAAGAAAAAGCAGATCGGCTTAGAGGATGAAGTTTCCGACAGCAAAGGGAATAAAGGTGTAAGGAGAAAAAGGAAAAAATCTGAAGGCAATGATGATGACGAGTGGAGAGGTGAGAGGGAAGATGATAAGGAATTAATTACAAAAGTAAGAAAGGTGCAGAGACCCAAGTACTCTACTAGATCGAAGGACCATGACAAACCCACTAAGGACACAAGAAATAATATACATTCTGTCCAAAAGCAAACTATCGGTGCTGATGATGCATCTCTTCATCACACTACCTCCTATCGATTTCTCCGATAGCGAAACCAATCCTCCCATGGCAGCAATGCTGCTTGCAACAGCACCAACATCACTGGCACCAATGTAAAGACCCCGGCTCCCAGTAGCAACAATGCTGTGTTTCTTCTCCTCTGTACTGGTCATAACAGACGGAAATACATCCATCAGCTGAGGGTTGGTCTGGCTAGAACTGATGAGCAGACGCAGAGTTTCTCTTGCACCCTTTCAACAACAGAATCAGATTCTGGAATCAATGGATTCACAAGTTTTGGGTGTAACGGTGGAATGCTGATCGAGATAGCAGGACCTGCACTCACAAGGTAGCCTTGGCCGGAGGAACAAACATCAATGACTGGAATATGAACAATAGGGTCACACATTAGAGGTGTGAATGTTAGGATCTGGGGTGAACTTGATCTAGATAGTGGCAACCTGACCAGTGGCTCAGGCAGTAACGTTGGAAAATCCATAGGGGGAAGATCAGACACATTAAGCGGTGACATTGGTGTCAACACACTAGAAGACCTTGTAGCTGGTAGTAAAGAAGAAAGTGGAGGTAAAGATAGTGATTCAGTGAATGACATAGGCAGTTGTGGAGGTTTGAATTGGTTGAGCTCCGGCGGGCAGGCAAGGCAAGGTTGCCGCCCGCCGGAAGGCGAAGAACACCAAGATCTTTAACCTTGCTCTGATACCATGTTAAAATTGCTGTATTATTGATTGTTGTATTGATATTTATTAAAATGATTCATGATTCCTATATATAGAAGAGGGTGAGTGTGTAGTAGGTAAGGAGTAGGTGAAGTGGAGGTGGTAGTGGTGTAGTGGGTTAGGTTTAGTGGAGTACGTGAGGTGGTAGTGGTGTAGTGGGTTAGGTTTAGTGGAGTAGGTTTAAGTGGGTGAAGTAGGTGGATTTTAACATGCAAAAACCCTCATGTTGAGGTTCACTATGAAAGCAAGATGTCTTCTGGATTTGTGCAAGTAGCTGTCAGACAGCTCGAAGTGCTAAAGCATCAAACCACAAAATGTTTCACTAGAAGTAACAACACTACGATAAACGATGAGGAATTTTTATTTTTATTTTTTTTTGTTAAGTAGAACAAAAGATAAGGTGATACTTGGAGATTCACTGCACAAGACAGACAAGGCGCACAGGAAACAAATGAACAATGGGACCTGATGTGCACAAGTATAACCCAAAAAGGAACTACTCATAGTTCTAGTTCTGTAGAAAACAAGCACTTGAACAAATCAACTTGTTGCATATTGGTGAGCTAAGTGACGACACAAGATAAATCATTTGTATATATATATATGCAGGCCAATGCCAAGTATTATGCAGCTGACAATCTAAAGAGGTTAAGAACAATAGCAAAATATTTAATTACCAAAAAGCTTAGCATCTGAAATCGATCATCGATTGAAGAAATCAGGCGGACAATCTGGGATTTCACAATTCCATCCCGGTTCTCAATTGAAATGTCACATTCAATTCCAGTTCCACGATCAACAATTTTCAAAATAGGAACCTTAGCTGTCAAAATTGGATGGACGCTGGAAACGTGTCCCTTTCCTACACATAAAAAATGAATAGATTAGAAGCATCCAGTATTTCCTGTGATAATCAGAATATTAATTACAATAAGAGTCTAATAAGCACCAGGACAAGGACAAGGATGATAATCCTAAAATTAACTACTGAAGATTCTGCGTAAGTCAAATGCTCAATAACTTTTATATTTTGATTCCCAGCCTAAGCAATTTTAGCTTAGATAAGAAAGATGAGCATTCTTTATCATCAGTGTTTACTTTGAACATTTCAGATTTATTTCATCCCTCAAAGGAAAATATACATAGAAGTCCCAGAAGAGGAAAACTATGCATTTAGGTAAAGAAATTTTATCGAAAATGACTGTCAAACAACATTGTGCTAGTGACTATATCGACATAAAGTATTCAACTCTCAGGAATACCAACTGAAGTATAGGTTCAACTGCTCCAAAGAATATTCATGTACGTTGTCCTCTGTGAAAAGGTGATGCAACGCCTAAAATATGCTGAACACTATTTCAGTGAATGCAAGTATATACTCCCAAGTCTCCATCCCTAATCACTCTAAATAAGGTTTTCTAGTAGATTATTTGAATGTACAAATGATAATCTTTAACAGTAGTTTAATTTAAATTACATGGTACCTTTCAATTGAAATATGCTCAATATGAGTGATAAGCTGCTGATACCACTACGGGCATGTTTGTTTGGGCGGACTGGATTAGTATTCCCATGACTAATAATCCTGGAATTACGAATTCGTTGGATTATGTATCCTATCTTAACTAAAAGTCAAGTTTAAAATAATTATTCCGTACTTCAATTGTTTAACCAAATATCGGATTAATAATTTTATTGGACTATTAGTCCAATTCCAAGCTCATGTCCACCCAAACAAACATGGCCTACGGGTCTACTAATCCCCCCTCCCCCCACCAAAAACACAGAGAGAGAGAGAGAGAGAGAGAGAGAGAGAGAGTAGACTCTTAACCTCAATTATTACTTTTTAAATTAGGTGTGATATAAATCTTTTCTTCAACTTTCCTGATGTTCAATTTGTTGCAGTAGGCTGCTTTTGTCACTTAAAGTTTTTCCACTACCCAATATTTTCTATAATCATATAATGATCAACATTGAACTCCCACTCCCTCGGGTCTGTAAGGGCCATACAATGACGGGTCTATAATCTACAATTAGTAATAGACAACTATGTTGCATGGACTCTCCAGAATAAATCAAATACCCATGTCAAATACCAGACACTTGGACAAGGGTGTGGGATATGTGCTCAACACTTTCCATCGGACACTTCTTATATATTTATGTTGAACTTATCTTATATATATATTAATACCGTATAGTTGCTATGCAATACTTTTTTATGTTACACATAGCACCATTTTATTTCACATAATAAATATTTTTATTACTAACATTATCCTTTAAGAAAAAGGATTTATATTTATTTTTGACATTAATAAATGGTAATTTAATTTACATATGGATTGATATGCATAAGGAAATATGTATCACAATTGGGATTAGAGTGTATTAACTCATAAACTCAAAATGAACTTATTTCTAATCTTAGTGTAGGGATTGAGGTTGAAAAGTAATGTGGAAATAGGTGAAAAGGTAAAAAGAGTTTTGAAATCAGTGAAAAATGTTTTGAAATTGATTGTCTCGTGTTCTTCCCCTTAATTATCCTTTTCTTGTGACCCAGGAACACTTGTTAGCAAGACCGTTTAATAATTACATAAAACTACAGATTTTGAGCATGCCCCTTACATGTCATGCCTGGCACTTTTTTAAAATTTCCATGTTGGCCTGTCTGTGCTTCGTAGTATATAACTTAATTATAAGAAACAAACATCCATTAGCATGCTCAACAAGCCTGCAATTGGTAGGTCAAATCCCCCAACAAATAAAAACTAAAAACTGCATCCCATGCATTTAATTCACAAGATCTAAGATCATTCCAAATGGAAATTAGCACCAAAAAAAAGATAATGAGGGGGGTATAACATAAATTACTTTGGAGTGCATATAACTTTTTTGCAAACTTTCGAAGGGTCTGAATCTTCTTCTCTTTGGGGAAATCAACTGCATTGTTACTAAAATTAACAGACAAGTCTAGATCACTTTTAGCACTGAAGATATCCATTAAGAAAGATCCAAATTGCTCCACGACAGGAATATCATCAGATTTTCCTGAAACCAAAAGTAAATAATCATGATTAAATAGTGCATATAGGTAATGTGGCTAACATTTGGCTGGGATGAGCTATGGAAAGGTCTAAAAATGTAAGATCAGATACATTAACACAAACTAAAGACACATAAGCAACATATAGATGACGTAGCATCATTTTAGAAATTATTGATGCGAAAAGAGAAAACCACAACTATGATTAGGCATAGTGGTTTGAATTTGTGAAAGGGGAGCACTTGCACAGACCAATTATAATTGTTAAATCGAGAATCAAATCATGAATCGTAAAGGTTCGGTCATAATTTCTAAAATACATAGAAAAATATATCCATATATTCAAATAGTAAAGATATATTTTAAATATTAAAGGCATAAACATAAATCAACGAAAAACTTGCTTTGAATGATGATCATATGGTTTAATAGGTAGATGCTTGCATCTATAGCCAAAGATGTGGGTCTGAACCCACCATGATCTATTATCCTATAATACATTATTGATTTATGACAATCCTTGAGTACAAATAGAGAACACCAGAATCCAATATCCATTATACAGAAGATAAAAAATTCAAAAATTCAAATAACCTAAGCGAATTTTACAAAATACGCATTCATATATGATTTTATAACCGTCACAGGATTCACCCTTTCATAAGTTTCAAACTTTTGTGTGTTTGTATTCATGCAGAAACAAGAACAATAGGAAGAAACTGAAGAAGAAAGTAGCAAGCCAGACAACTGAGCAAAGGCTGTCTTGAGTGACTCTCAAAGCTCTCAAATTCCCAAGTGGAGCTCCAAATGGTCAAAGCTTCAATATTTAAAGGCCAGGAGCACCCCTGGAATACATGTAGGCACCCCTTCATTAAGATCTGCGTTTAAACTCTTGTTCTAACAGAAAGCTAACCATGGATACTGCTACTCTTCTATCATATAAGTCAATAAGTGAACATTCTATTTAAAGATAATTCAAAGCATAAAGCAACCCAAAATAGTCCACCATAAACTAGTGGGGATTGCATTTATGTTTGTGCATTTCTGGATTGACAATAGATATTAGATGAGTCCAGCACAAAAATCACCATAGATTTCCTTTGCTATCACATTGAAGATTCGAACCAAATCTTTGCGATTGTAATAATCACTTTCTTTTGGACGACAAATGACATAAACATCACGAAGTAGTTCCTCAAGGGCAGGTATTTGTTCAGGGACAAGTTTATTCTTTTGCGATCCCTTCAATTCACGCTTCTTTGCTTTCTTACGCAGAACTGAAATCAAAGTGAGAACATTAGAATTACTCATTTAAAAAATATCACTATTCATATAATATCAAGGATAATTTAAATGAACTTCATAAATCATGAGCTTATATCTCCGAAAACTGAATGAAGCTTCCACATCTACTTAACTCAGTTAGTATCCCAAGATTAGTATTAGGTTCAGTTCATACATAATCAAGCAATAAAAGTAATGACAAAAAAAAAAAAAAAAAAAAAAAAAACACCATTCAAAAAAAAAAAAAAAAAAAAAAAAGAAAAACACCATTCAGTCTCAACACAAGTTTCCACAATGAAGACTGTTGGACCTGTTTTGATCTAATAGCAGGGACAATAATGTGTTCAAAACGTTATGCCTAATCAAACAATTGTATACCCAACACAATAAACAAGTTGTTGAGGATTAAACCACACACACACACAATAGCAACCAGAATCAATTACAAACAAGAAAACAAAACATGCAGATTTATGTGGTTCGGCAAGATTGCCTACGTCACGGCTCACACCATTTCCACTATACTGACATTCACTAAGACTTACAGCATTAACTATCAAGACACATTTATCCCAGTTCCATTCGTACACTTCTTTCATGTGCAACTAATTTGTATTGGCTATTATGACATCTAGATGTGAAAATTGCATTTCCTCAATAGATGATAAATTGACTTTAAACAAAAATAGATATTTTCTATCAAATAAGTTTGAAATGAATTCAACCCCGCAGGGGAAAAAAGCCACTACAGGTAGATCCTAAACATAAAGCTCCAACATATAAATATGTGTGTACAAATTGTTTTAGCAACTCTACTTTGCGAGTAAAGAATGCTTTCTTTAAACACATTTATCAATCCTAATTCCTAGTTCATCTAAAAACTAAACTTAACCTTGCTAGGTTCAGATCATCCAGCTACTAAGAGAATTCACCATGGTGACAGGTTGCTTTGTAAGAGTTTTAAAAGATAAGCAGCATAGGAATCAGATGTAAAGATTACTCACCTTTCTCACCCATTGCCATGGTTTAGAACCTACAAGATTAATGAAGAGAAGTTACGTTTTAGGAAGAAGCAGCTTTCCAGTGAAAATAGATTATTTAGCGACATTAGTATACCAGGAGCACTTGATTATCAGTTCAATCTGCAAACAGTAAATGAAATTGTTAAGGCTTGAGATGAGCATCTGATAACTCCAGGAATGGTAACATTGCACCTTTCACAAGCCATAAAAGCTAGGGAGAAACTATACATGGATTTGAAGCCAGATACATATACATATTTACATATATAAATTTTTTACAGGTAAAAACATATATTGTAAATCATGCCACATGACAATTCCACATGGTGCAGAACCAAAAAGTTAGACACTACCCATGTAACAAAGAAGTTCAGAAGAGAGACACGATGATAGAGCATGACTCTGAGAAATCAAGTCATTGTCTGAAAGCATAGATGGAGAAATTATAAATCATCTAATGTAAGAACTTAAATAAAATGTACCATCAACACTGAAGACCATGCAACCATAAACCTTCATGTCTCCAGTACAGTTTTTTGATTTTTTAGTTTTTATCAGGTCTCCAGTACAGTAATCAACATGATCAATGGTCGATTTTCATTTTGTTTCCTAGTGAAGAATCAAAATACCAACAACCAAGGATTTTATAGTTTGGGTACACCTTTATATCATTGAAAGTGGAACCAACCTTAAAACCAACAGATAACAGTAAGGAATAGCAAAGTGGTGACCATCTTACTTTCTAAACACACAAAAGCAAGACAAAATTATACAATGTTTGGGAATATAGGAGAGAAAAGAAAAGAAATGATTTGTTAAGTTAAGAGAGAAAATAAAAAATTGCATTTTCTCTCCCTCTTGTTTGGTTAAGCCAAAGAAAAGATAGTAATTTCTCTCCAATTTTGTTTGGATAGACTACACAAAAAAGAAAAAAGAAAAAAGAAACTCCTACAGGATATATTACCAAAATAACCCTTTATGTTTTTATTTCTTTAGTAGCTAGATGGACAATTTTGGTAAAATTAGTAATCATTCCATTTCTTTTCTCTCCCAAACCCAATCTTTGGAGAGATTCAAAAGTGAGGTATAACTTAAAGAGAAATCAATTTCTCGCATCTTCTTTTCATTTTTCATCTTTAGTAATCCAAAGGGACACTTAAACTAGTTTGTAAATTTAAACTTCATAATATCAAAATTAGAACAAGAAAACATATTTTTTTTAACTCTAATGTTAAAATTACTGGTTAACATACAACACCAAGTACTATATCTGTTAGCATTACTGGATAAAGAATTATAAGGCCTTGAAGTGCATTTGCAGTGTAAACCACAATCTTGCCCATTAATATCAAATAAAAACTAGTGGCTTCAAATGAAAACAAGGTGCATGATCAAATAAACACCTTTAGAATAAAAAAGAACAGATACCCATTAACAGAAACCTGAGCTTCATGCATCAAAGAAGAAAATGAATTAAAGCTATGAGGCTCACAACAAGGTTCACATACCTTATTGCATGATTCAGAATCAGAGACCCTTTCGCAATCCTCAATCTCTGTTCAACCATATACGAAGATCTTTATCAACAAACTGAGACTTCAAATCAAAAAAATCTTAAACAATGACAACAACTTCATACTCAACCTCTGCCCAATTCAGATTCCATACATCATTGATCGAAGACTTCGAGACCATTTGATTAGAAAAATCGAGCCTCTGATGATGATCATCAACTCTGTGTTTTACAACCCTAGTTTCGAACCTCCCCAAATTCGATTTGGGAACACTGGGAGATGAACCAGACAGAGCCATTCCGGAAGGAAATAGAAATGGGCTGATATATTGGGCTCTATATAGAAATGGGCTGATATGTTGGGCTCTATAACAAGAACCCAAGGATATTCCATTGATTTGAAATTGGCCCAGATCAGAAAGTCGCCCAAAGCACCAGCCCTTGGGCTTGAAATAATTTGGGCCATTGTCAACCCTTGGGCCATTTCCATTGGCCTGTGAATTAATCAATCAATGAAAAAAATTGAATTGACTTATATTTTGTGTGTGAATAATATATCAAAAGGTCCTCCAAAATAAACAATACAAATCATCAAAACGGGACTTGTATTGAGCATTATGGGCTTAGACAATACCTTCTGACATGGATAAGCCCATTAAGGATATGGCCCACCACTTAAGGGCCAATCCATGACTCAAATATTAAAGCTCAATATTCTTGGAACCCAACGCTACACCAAGCGCCAATGACATCTAAACACCCGGCAAGTGCAGAACCAGTCACATCAGCAGACAAAGATCTTGCAAAGTTATTGCACCATACATCAGCCATTAATGAGCTCCCCTGCAGCATTTATTGCGATAACCCTTCACGTTGGAACAGAACAGCCCCACCATGAACAAGGCAAGCTAGAGCATAGACTTTCGGCCAACATGATGGCTCGGAGTGGACAAGGAAATGATAAGCAAACGATGTAAGCAGGTCTCTGAGACAAGAAAAAGGTTAAGTTCTTTATCACCATTCTATCTCTACATTTTCATCATCCTCTCCCTTCTCTTAACTTAATCGTCGGAGGATTCGCTGGGGGATTCCTCGTTCCCCGTTGAACTCTTGTGCAGGTCTCTCTGCGAGCTCGATGCCCGGGCAACGGTTTGAGAAGCGTGGATCAATCCGACCTGTTCCATCTGGAGCACTCAGTATCATCAGTTGGCGCCGTCTGTGGGAACCCTTTTTGCTTCGCGTGGCAACTATGCTCGTTGTCGCCGGAGACCCATCCCCGATAATCCCTATCTGCCACCCACCAAGGTGGATGGTCACAACTAGATCTATGACCTCTCAACACAACGTTGTCGACCCCCAAGCCGACCCTCCTAACCCAAGTAACCCACCGCAGTATTTCACAGAACTCACCAATAGTATTAACCGCTTAGCCGAACAAAACCAGGCCCTGATCAATGTTTTGCTTCAAAGAGACCTTCCTATTCTTCCTCTACCACCTCAAGATATCCCACACAACCGAGAACGAGCCCCAAGCCATCCTATCCAACAGTCCCACCCATCCAACTTGGATGGCTTGCGACCCCCTCCTCTAGATATGAACCTGTCACCTTAGGCCCCACATCTATCGGTCCAGGCACCCACCCCCGAGGGAGAGGCCAGTAATGTCCAGCCTTCGCTGCATTCCGGTGGTAACATCGTTCCTCTTTGGGATGCAGAACTTCAAGCCATGAAACTCCAGCTTCAAGGAGTCATGCAGAACATACATAATAAACCCTCTACCACAGCCAACTCACCATTCATTGCCTCAATTAGGGACAAACACCTACCTCCTAAGTTCAAAATGCCTTCAATCGACTCTTTCAACGGTACAACAGACCCAGTCGACCACTTGGAGACTTACGGGACCCTCATGGTCCTTCATGCATTCCCTGACGAGATCATGTGCCGGGCTTTCCCCGTACCACTTAAGGGGTCGGCTCAACTCTGGTTTAGGCAGCTGCCAATAGACTCTGTCTCTACTTTCCAGCACCTAAGTAACTCATTTCTCAGCCATTTCATTTGTGCCCAGCGCCAACGGCGTCCGGCAACTCAACTCCTCAATATCCGTCAGATGGAGGGGGAGTCGCTGCGCAGCTTCGTCACCCGCTTCAACACCGAAGCCCTGCAGGTAGCAGAAAACGATGACAAGGTCATGCTCACAGCTTTCATGGTCGGTTTACGATCATCTGATTTCCTTTTCTCTCTTTCCAAAACCCCTCAACCTCCATAGCAACCCTACTCTCCAAAGCCCAAAAATACATGAACGCCAAAGATTCCCTAGTCGCCCGACAAGATCCTACAGCCAAAAACCCAACCCCTAGAGAGAAGATAAAGGACACTGAAATCAGAAACACCTAGTACACACAACAAACACCTCAGTATACCGACCAACCTGCTCGAGCCGACTGGTCGACACCTACCCGACCGCCCGGTTGGTTCGAACGGTACACACCCCTCAATTCCCCCACGGAACAAATCCTGAACCAGATCCAACGAGATTATCCTTTAAAATGGCCCCAACCGTCGCGGTCTCCTTCCAACCAGCAGGACCAGTCCAAATACTGCCGTTTTCATCAAGACCACAGCTATAATACCGAGGAGTGTGTTAACCTCAAAGACCAGGTCGAGAGCTTGATACACCAAGGACGTCTCAATCGGTTCACGGCCGCCCGCTTTTAGTAACGGCCAAGGACTGAACCTACCAAAAACAACCACCGGCGTACCCCTTCTCGACAACCCGCACAACCTAACCAAGGCCATGAACAGCCCCCACAACAACCTAGGGCACAAGGCAACCCCACCCCCCCGGTTGGGGAGATCAGAGTTATTGCCGGCGGGCTTGCATGTGGAGGACCATCCCGTTCGGCCCAACGGGTAGAACTTAGAAAAATCAGGTAGGGCTCAAACAAAGAGGTCGCAACATTGGACCGCTCCTTCAAACACCCCAAGCAGTGGATGGAGCCTATCACCTTTACGGAGGCCGATTCCACAGGCATCCGCCACCCCCATGATGACCCCCTCGTCATCTTTACTCTCCTGTCTAATTACAAAGTCAGACAGGTGCTTGTTGACAATGGTAGCTCTTCGGACATCATCTTCCTAAACGCCTATCGCCGGCTCAAGGTTGGAGAAGAAAGTTTGTTCCCTCTCCAAACCCCACTAGTTGGTTTCACTGGAGATCGGGTGACCTTCATAGGCTCCATCGATCTTCTCATCACCATTGGAGCATACCCACGGCAAACTACTAAGTTACTCACCTTTCTCATTGTCGACTGTCCCTCTGCTTATAACATCATCCTCGGCCGCACTGCCCTCAACGTTTTTCAAGCTATCATTTCCATGTACCATCTGGCCATGAAATTCCCTACCGACCTCGGAGTCGGCACCGTGAGGGGGGAACAGACTGTGGCCAGAGAATGCTACATCTGTAGACCACCCGAACTCGCTCCGCACGCAAGGGCGCGAATTGGGTTCTAGCTACTACAGTTCGGACTCCTGTCACTGTTCTGAATCTAATCTCATAAAGTGCAATGTAAGACTAATAAATCACCAAAGAGTCCAAATCCGGCAAATTGTTTTGAAAAATCGACTTTTATCAAAAAGCGCCAAACATGGACTGCTTTGTTAGATTTTAGAGTCGCTATCTAAATATTTTATTTTGGAAAATTTAGGAAAACCCTGACTCGTGCCTAAGGCCACGTGTCCGTCATCACCAAAGTTGCCTCAGGTCGGGAACTTGGGTATGAGAGGGGAAGGTCCTGAAATGAGCACCCCCGCTCGTCCGATCAAAGATCGGCCTCTACTAACATGATATGTTGTTTTTGAAAACAAATGCGTTCTTATTCCGGTTTATTAGCTAACTTTACTATGTGATGCGCACAACACACAAGTATAGACTAAATCACTCAATTTGGAACAAAACATCTCATGCTTGTTTTTCGAAAATGGTTTGGAATTACTACTCGCAAGTAGGCTAAAGTGTGGATTTGCCACCAAACAAGGTGGGCTTAAAACATGATGGTTTGCCACTTTAAGTGGGCTTAAAACTCACATTTCGATGAATTGTTCCAATTCAAGTAACGAAGGCTTCATCCACAGGCATTCATGCAGTTAAAGCACTTAAGTGAATAGCCTCATGGCAAGCATGCTATTATGGCAATCACTTACACACATGCAAGATGCTAAAGCATAAACACTTATAGTGTACTCTAAGCCAAAACAGAAAACTAGTTAGTAATCATGCATGATCCTAGTTATGCAAAACGCCTAATGCAACACAAGCAAAAATGCAATTAATAGGCTCAACTATCTAAGATGGCATGTGAATGCGGCATTTGATATATGTATTCAAATAAGAATTAAAATACAATGCAGTTTGAATGATGCGCCGAGCCCGGTGCATGCAAGACAAATGAATGATGTACGCATGCAAAGCATAAGGTATGCTAATTGAGATATGCCCTAAAACTAACCATCAAAAGCTGGTAAATAAAAAGGAGAAAGACGTGGGGTTGAAAGACATTCACACACACACGCACACTTATTACAACATTTGCCCTCTCGACGGAGGGTCCGAATAAATAGGCTAAGCTACGCTAAGCTACTTTATTACAAATAAACTAATTAACTATTCTAGTTAACTAATTAGTTATTGCAACACAGATCGATTAGCTAAGTACATTAACTAATTAAGTACAAAACCGACTAATTAACTATTTAATCAAAGTAGTTAAAAGGAGCCTCGGGGCGAGAAATGCATACATGCTCGGTTGCTTCTTCCTAAAATGCTGTCGCCTTGCCACCGCTTGTCTCTATTTGCGTTCCCTTTGATTCTGAACACCAAACCAATTCCCATACTGCTTCAGCCCCAGAACTAGAACAACTTTGAACCATCTTCAAGTTGGTGGACTGTCGGCCACCAGGGGAGGCTGTAGGCCACCTGTCGACCACTTAAGGAGGCTGTAGGCCACTTCCTCTGGCCGGTCGGCCAGTTGCTTCTGCACACTTCCATTTTGCTGCAAACAGAGTTCAACAAGGGCAAAGCAAGGCATTTGCAGGGTATGTGTGTACAACCACCCTCATTATCATTTCTCAAGCTCAAAGGAGTGCGGTACTCGACTCTCGAGCCACCAACTGAACATCACAATGCACGATGGCCGAGAAACCGAGTTTGTACAAGTTAATGAATGCACAAGTAACATACAAGACTCGAGAGACCTCCACCCTATCATGCACAATCAAGGAGGACGGCGACTAA